CGTGTGCCTGCTTCATATGGGGCAGTGTATTTCTTGACAATTGTAAATGATTTCAATAGAAGTGTTTGGACCTACTTGTTACTCGCAAAGTCAGAAGTTAAGAAAGTGTTGCAGAGGTTTTATGATTACACTGAAACACAGTTCAATCATTCAGTTCAAACTGTGAGAAAAGATAATGGTCAGGAGTTGATACATCAAACAAGTTGTGTGAATACACCACAGCAAAATGGCCGTGTGGAGAGAAAGCACAGACACATATTGAATGTGGCAAGAGCTCTGTTGTTTCAGTCTAACATGCCTATTAAATTTTGGGGTGAGGCTATATCTGCTGCAACGCACGTTATTAATATGACACCGACTAAAGTCTTGAAAGATCGATCACCTTATGAAGTGTTATTTGGGACCAGACCACCGTATGATACGTTGAGAGTGTTTGGGTCTCTGTGCTATGTCCATAGACGTGATAGAGACAAGAATAAGCTGGGAGAAAGAAGCAGGATATGTGTCTTTGTAGGCTATCTTTCGGAAAGAAAGCTTGGAGACTCAATGATCTGGACAAGAATGAGTTTTTGGTGTCTAGAAATGTGAGTTTCTTTGAAGATGTGTTTCCGTTTAGTCAAGAGAAAACAGAAGTTGGAGGTGCAGTACACGAAGAACTAACAGGAGGACCTGATGATGACTGGATAATTGATATTGTCACTGGAGATAGGGGGAGAACAACACCAGAAGTAGAAGTTCCTTCAACTCCAGCAGTAGTGGTTGCTGCAGAAGCACCAGTCTCAGCCGATGTTAGTAATGAAACCAATAGAGATCAGAGTTCTGTACAAGTTGAAAAGGAAGTTGCAGAGGGTAGTAAAAAGGTTCAGGAATCTGTAACAGAGCCACCAATGGGAAAAGGTTGCAGAGAAAAGGTTCCATCAGTAAGATTGCGTGATTATATAAGCTACAATGCAAAGTATCCGAAGACAACACCCCATCACGTGCTCACTACTCCTACGGTCAAATCAGAGTCAACGGAAACGGTTACAGGTAATACACCATATCCTCTTGACAACTACATTTATGATGAATATTTTCTTCAAAACACAAGGCCTTTCTGGAAGCAATCACTAGTTATTAAGAACCAAGAAGCTATAAGGAGGCAGTACAGCAAAAGATTTGGCGTGACTCAATGCATAAGGAGATGAGTGCGTTTGAAGAAAATAAGGCGTTTAGTGTGGTTGATCTACCACCTGGGAAGAAAGCAATAGCAAACATGTGGGTGTACAAGTTCAAATACAACTCAGATGGTACAATGGAGAGGCCAAAGTCTCGCTTGGTTGCGTTGGGTAACAGACAAGTTAAAGGCAGGGATTTCAAGGAAACCTTTGCACGGGTAGCTAAGATGACTGCAGTGCGTAGTCCGTTGCATGTGATTGCGGGTAAAGGATGGATTGTACATCAAATGGACGTGCACAATGCCTTTCTACATGGTGATCTTAAAGAGGAAGAATATATGAAACTACCTCAAGGTTTCCACAGTTCTGATCCAACTAAAGTTTGTAAGTTGCACAAGGCTATATATGGATTGCGACAGGCTCCAAGGTGTTGGTTTTCTAAACTTACAGATGCATTGAAGAAGTACGGGTTCAAACACTCATACGCGGACTATTTTTGTTTGTGTACTCGAAGAAAGGAGTGGAGCTGAGAGTGTACTTATTTACGTGGATGACTTACTGATGTGTGGAAATAATTTGACAGTTGTGGCTAAGTTTAAGGATTATTTGAGCAGATGTTTTCACATGAAGAATTTGGGGAAGTTAAAATATTTTCTTGGTATAAAAGTAGGACGAGGTGAAGAAGGATTCATGCTGTCTCAGAGGAAATATGCATTAGACTTGATATCAGACGCAGGGTTACTAGGAGCGAAACCAGTAGCAACGCCTATGGAGCAGCATCATAAGCTGGGGCTGGATTCTAGTCCATTTCTGAAAGATGCAGAGAAATACAGAAGGTTGGTAGGGCGTTTAATCTACTTGTCGATAACTCGTCCAGATATTTCATATCCAGTCCACATTTTATCACAATTCATGAAGTCTCCGAGAGAGTTGCAATGGGAAGGTGCACTCCGAGTTGTTAAATATTTAAAGGGAACGGCAGGACAGGGGATTCTGTTGAGTTCTAAGAGTGATCTTTGTGTCTCAATATATTGTGATGCGGATTGGTCAGCCTGTCCGATCACGAGACGGTCATTAAGTGCATATGTAGCACTTGTTGGAGACTCACCAGTTTCGTGGAAGACTAAGAAGCAAGGGGTTGTATCACATTCTTCAGCAGAAGCTGAGTATAGATCCATGGCTCAGGCTACAAAAGAGGTGAAGTGGTTGAGGAGACTAATGCATGATCTAGGAGTTTCACAGCGACAGCCCTCAAAGTTGTTTTGTGATAGTAAGTCAGCCANAACAAAACACATAGAGTCAGATTGTCATCAGGTTAGAGATGCAATTCAAGAAGGGGTTTTAGAAACAGTCTATGTTAGAACGAACGAGCAGCTAGCAGATGTGTTGATAAAAGCGCTTGGAAAGGTCCAGTTTGAGACGTTGTTCAAGTTGGGAGTTAGAAACTTCCACCTTCCCAATTTGAGGGGAATATTGGAGGATAATGATGAAGTTTGAAATATATATTATATTAGTTTGAGATAATAATGTAATTAGTTAGGAGAATATATCCTAAAGTCGGTGAAGTTATACTATAAATATGTAATTAAAGTCATGAATAAGACACACGAATTTATACATATTTACAGAAACCTCGAAAAAAATTGGCTTAAAAAAATAATTCTCCTTATACAAATAGAAACGGATATTAAAACGTTTTTGACTTAAAATTATGGTAGTTGGATGATTCTAACAGAAAAAGTAACTGGTTTTCCACCGTTAAAAAGTACTAATAGTTAAGAGTTCTAACATGAAGTAAAAAAGTAATTAGCTAAACATGCTACATGACAAGATGAATTTTCACGCCGCACTAGTACAAAAAGTGAACGTGACAGATCATTTTTGTGGCTAGCTTTGTCTTTAGAGATTTGCATTTATTTTTGTCATTTGCATCTCAAGTTACGTATGAGCACGTGGTTCTGCACGTGCCCAAGTTGTATCCATTCGTTAGAAAATAAAATCCAGAAATAGAAATAGTAAACTTATTTTCTTACCGTTCCGACTTCATATAATCACTATAAAAATATTAATGGTAAGAAATTTTTAATTAATAAACTTGATATTAATAATAACTTTATTAGATCACTAAATTAACAATTTAAAAATAGAAAAATATTATGAGGAGATTTTTTTAATGAAAATGAATATAAAATTTAGAAAATATTTGTATATCTGTTTCTGGAAAATATATATTTCAGTAAAATAAAATTTATAAAAAAATAGTAAAACCATAATTTTATCAGAAATAGAATAGCTTGAAAATCTATTGGTTAGAGAAACAAAATTATTGAACTTTATAATTATTGAATAAAATAAAACTGAAGCTAAAAACTATGTAGTCAATTATTCAAGAGCCAATTTATGGTAAGAATTTAGTTCATTAATTTTTTTCAGTGAAAAATTGAGTCATTAAAGTATATTATATAAGACCATAAGTAAGGTTATTTCAGTGAATGTTAAATTTAAGAAACAAGATTTGAATAATTTTATTCAGGATTTAATAAAAATCACTTTTATCCATGAAAAATTACATCATTTAGCTATACAAAAGACCAAAAACAAATTAGCTAATGACCAAATTTCCCTTTCCTCTATTCCATTCTTTTCCTATTTCTCTCTTCTCTTTCTCTGTCTCTCTCAAAATCTAATTTTCTTTTTTTTTATGATTATTTCACAAAAAAAGCCTTTTATCCATAGGCCATAGCTAGTCTCTTATATATATATATTTTTCAAATTAGAGGTTCTCTAGCAGGGGCAAATCCATTACCAAGCTAGAAAGGTAAGTTAACCCCAGTTAAATCATTAGTTTATTTAGTAACTATATCAAGTTAGAAAGGTAAGTTAACCCCACTTAAATCACTAGTTTATTTATTAACTATATCATTTTTATGTAACTGATCCCTAATAAATTTGTGTTTGATTCTATGTATGTTCTTAACTTCTTATTCCTTAAAAATACTTCTTATTTCCTTTTTTTCATCACAAAAAAGAAAAAACTAATAAAAATAATAATCAAAGACATCTAGTTTCTATTTATCCACAGAATATTCATTGTATTGTTCTTATTAACTGCAAAAATGAAATCATGTTCACAATTCCAAGTATAAATTTATAGCAAAACTATAAGTTTTTATTTTAGCTAAAAAATATTATTTATCTTGCATCTTTCTCAAAATATGGGACTCAAAATTAGATATTTTTATCAAAAAAAAATTATTTTAGAAATAATTTTATCAATACTTAATAAGATCTTGAATAAATTTAGGAAAAATATTTATCTATTATTATTTTATTTTAAATATATTTATTTTATCTAATGTTAAATATATCTGATCCCAACAAAATATATTTCTGGATCCACCATTATTCTCTAGAATATCTATGAAATAAAATATTATTATTTTATCACAATTTTATTATCTAATTAAATTTAAAGAAAATAACAAATTAAGCCAGTTGCATAAGACAAGTGTATAATAGTCTCTCACATAAAAATCCATGTGACAACTTACCATTTCTTTTATCATTTTTCTAATTTTTCATTTTGGAAGTGTCAAGATATCCTTTGAAAAACCCTAATGAAAGCGCCCTACAGATACCAATTAAATATATTTGTTCACACAAAAATTTGAATGAAATTACTGGATGGATTGAGAGAGATAGAATGGGAAATAGAAAGGGTCTTAAATCAAAAGAAACCTAAAACCCATTTAATTAAATTACTGTGTTTCTTCGGTAGTTAACAAACCGACTAAAATTTTCTTGAATAAAAAAGAACACGTTTTAAAACAAAAGAAACATGAAAGACTATCACTTTTATTAAATTCGACTCTCAGCTACAAATCCCAATAAATAGTCATTGGTTCAACAAACACTCGCAATGATTTAACAACCAGCATATACTATATAAAATCTACTATGTATCTAGCAAATACTATACAAGCAACATAAATCCAAACACATTACCCAAAAAAGCAGAACAATGAAAACGAAAAACAACATCCGGATTCTACTGAATATGGCAATGCTACTGAATCTGCACTTTTCTTTACCTCTTTTAGGTAAAAGAGTTGATATGAACGTACACAACTTTGTTTTCTGCTCACACACATACATTGCTCTAACTTTAGATCCTAACACTCTCATGATAGCCCAGCTATGATCTCACCTGAGCCACACCACCATTAGAATCTCCCGTCTGAGCCAGAGAGTTGGTGATGGTTCCGTTTTCTTGATCCTTAGAGGCACAAATGCTCAAATCTAACTTCTTTAGCTTCACTCTTCCTCTTCTTTTCCCCAATGAGCTACTCTCTTCCCTTGTTTTCACCTTCCCGTTCACTCTAATTCTGTCTACTTCATCGTCAGTGGAGGTGTCTGAATCCACAACACCCGCAACATCATGCCCATCGTACATAGTACTACTAGTCACTGTCCTATTCTCATAGGTAGCTACACTCTTTAGCTTCTTGTTTCTATGCCCGGTCAAGACCCTAGGGGAGTTGTTTATAGCTCGATCCAACCTATGCACTAAATCCTCATCTTTCGAATACAAAACATGAACAGGGACATGTTTCTTCTGCTTATTCTTCCTAGGAGACCTCTCTTTCACGGTCTCAGCCGGAAAAGAAGCGAACAGTTGCAACGCACTCTTGGCTGCAGCTACTGCCTTTGAAGCAATAATGGCTTTCTCATTAGCTGCGGCTCTGGCCGCCTTTGCGATCTTTACCGCTAAAGCAGCGGCTGCTTTTAGCTCCTCCGGAGACCGACTCTGGTCGTCGTTGAGTTGGGAAGTCAACAGATTGTCTAGATGGGTCTGCACAACGATGGAAGCAGAGGAGGAGCCGTTGGAATATGAAGTAGAAGAGGAAGAAGGAAGAGGAGGACTCGGAGAGGAGGACCCATTGCTGTTCTGTTTCTTGAATCCGGCGAGTAATCGCTTCCGTGGAGGCAGAAGCAAATCGGAATCAAGCTGATTCACATCGCAACCATTTGTAGCCATTTTTTTCAGACAAATCTCTCTCCCGACCAGAATCGATGAACTAATACCAATCAGATCATAAATACAAGATCAGAGTTTAGTAAACAAATCAGAATGAACAACCGATATATAATTAAAAAAACGCAAGGACATCTTGCAATCCAGCGAATCATCTAAACCAATGATCCAAATTTTTTTAAAAAGAAAGAAAAAAAAACTTGATCCAAAAGCAGAACCTCGTTTATATGACAGTAGAGTACGAGAATCAAATTACAAAGATTGCGAGATGAAGAAGCTGTTCAGCGTACCTGAAACCTATATTTTCTAATAACGTGAATTCAAGCGGTTTTTGAAGTTACTTTATCATATCTGATCATCGGAGAAACAGAGGAGACAATAAAGAGAGGTATAGAGATGAGAGAAAGAGATTAGGGTTTTCACAAGAAGGAGAGAAAAGAGGAAAGGAAGGAGATGAGATTGTTTGTTTCCAATCTCTGATCCATTTTCGTTTTTATATGTAAACCCTACGAATCGAATTTTTAATTCTCTTAATTATTACGTTTTTATCTTCTTACATTAACCTCTCTTTATCTGTCTCCATGACAAACGTGAAACAGACAATTTAACCGATGTCTTTTTCCGTTTTTATTACATTCCGTCCAGCTATATAATAAGTTAACTAGGATAAGATCTGCGTGAATATATAAAATTAATATATAAAATTTTAGTGTTGATAAATTTAAATTTACATATAATTGTTTTTATATATGTTTGAAATTTTAAAATTTTAGAATTTTTATATAATTATCCATACGTAGGATCAGAAACGATTGTAATTAGAACTGTATATCAAATCTTATAATTTAATGGATCCGATTTCATATATCTTTCCACTTTTCAGTGTTCGAGTGATGGTAAATAAACTGAGTGTCATTGGGCTTGATTGGTAGAGTATTAGCAAGTTTTCTAATGTTCTTTTTAAGAAACAGTTGGTAAAATATTTACATTTAAAATATATAAAGTTTCAAAACTAATTTAATATAATTTATTTATTTGTCTAATAATATTATAAAATTATATTTTTACAAATTATTGTTTTTAGATAATTTTATATAAAATTAAGTTAAAATTTAAAATATTTTTGAAAACAATATTTTAAGTTTTTCAAATACAAATAGATAATTTAAAATTAACTATGGTCATGATTTTAATGATTTAAAAAATTAAAGAATTTAAAAATTAACAAATTAAAAATTCAGTCAGTTTTATATCATGATTTAACAATTTAAAAATTAATTATGGTTATCAGAATTTACGTTCACGTGTCAGTCCTATTTATCTTCAATTTTTTCTCTTGTTGTGTTTTTTAATATTTTGGTTATTACTCGATATAAATATTTATTTTGAAATTTATTCTCATTTCGTTTGTTTTGACCCGAGATTTAGAAAATACTTAAGATTTAAAATAATTAAAGAGATACATAGTTAGGTCAAGATCTGCACTTTGTGCACAATAAGTATTTATATTTATTATTCATATTGTATTTTCTGCATATTATAAAATAATAAAATAATAAATATATATATTAAATAACTAAGAAATCAGTTACTATTATGTAATAAATTGGCGTATGCATATAAATTTAACTATCACTCTTGTTTATTCGCAATTAAGGTAAATAAATCAAAATAATCAATCTTATATATTGTATATGATATATAATTAAATTTTAAATGATATAAACATAGTACTATAGCACACTTTTAATATAGATATTTATTAAATGATGTTTCTACTCATATGATTTTATGATTATTTGCATATTTGTGTAACAAAACTTTACACCAACGATTTTTTTTTTTAATGTGAGATGTTTAGTAGTTTCAATAATTTATAATCATTTTAAAAAAACAATGACATATTTCAAAATTAAATATTAACTTTTCAATATATGTTCAAGGCAAATATCAAAATATAGGTATATATTTTCATACGATGTATAGTTTAATTAAAACGATATGAAATATATATAAACTAAAATTATTTCATCATGTGGTCTTATAATCATTATATTTTAATATATAAAAAAAATTAAAACCTTGATCCTAAAAGTTTATGTGAGACTTTTAACAGTTTTAGTAATTTATACTCATTTTGAAAAATTTGAAATACAACATACACAAAAAAATCTAGATTTTTATTATATGATTAATGTAATTGTGTAATTTATTTTAATAATAAAGAAATAATCAAAATGAGAAAAAGTATACAGACTGTTATCAAATCTTTATTGTTTAAAATCATTAATTTTCATATATATATTTTAATCACATTAGGTAATTCTGTAGGTTTTATTTAAGGAAAGCATGCGAAAAATGAAATATTTGATATATGCGACCAACTATAGCCTAGGAAATATTATATTGCTAGAGAGTATAATTTTTAAATTATACATTATATCACATGTTCTAGAATCCTTGAGATTTGAAATAGAAGCCAAAAAACTATGCCACACAGGATTTGGGTTATTTTTAATTTTTACAAACTTAAGGTTACAACTTTTTAAGTGATTCTCTTTTAATATATAGGAGGTAACCGCTGTCTTAATTTTTTTTAAGTAACTACTAAAACCGGTGTCCAAAAAAAAAAGTAACTACTAAAACCACGAAGTCATTGTCATGGGAACATAATAGTAAAAATGGAAGGAAATATTATGTTGGAATCTTTGTCTAGGTTGCTTGTGAAGTTGTAAGATGTGATGTTATGATGAGAGCACCAAGATGAGATAAGTTAATGATGAGCTAATTATGAGTTAATAGATAATGATGAACGATGTGATGTCAAGACACCGAGAACGGGTGATGTATAGAAATAGATGATGAGTTAATAGTGATGTCTTAAGATGAAGTCATTTCGAGTTGTGGCCTAAATGACTTCAATGACCGTGGGCAGACAGTGCCAAAAGAAACCACATAGCTGTGAGCGGGTAGCCACGTAGGAAGCCGCATGATCTGAAAGAAGGTACCAATAGGAATGGCCGACACGAGGTTGGATGTATGTGAGCGATTCATAGATCCTAGAGATCTACATTGTTTGGTGCATATTAGATTCTATTAGCGACCGATACAAACACCACAACGTCGATCAACACCAACACCCCAACGTCGACCTACACCTCACGTGGGACGACCGAGAAAGTTGAAGTGCTCATATATAAGGTCGATGAAAATGGGATGCTAAGAGATGAAGAAGGTCGAACTCGCAACAACAAAGGAGGGTTGATTAATACACAGGGTGTTGTGATCCCTGATGTTATTGCTATTGCTGAGATTAGTCACTTTGATCTTAACGGTGAATGGTATGATTGGGCAGGTCAGAACTCTTTCCAGGATTTGCCTCATGAAGATCCGAAGCAACACATCGCAGAGCTTGAAGATCTAGTGTCAAGGAGTGAGCATAATGAAATATCTGACGACAACCTGCTTTGCAAGATCTTTCCCTATTCTATTTCTAGGGATGCATTTGGCTGGTTCAGTCAACTACAACCAAGATCTCTAACCAGTTGGGATACCACTAAAAGAGTCTTCCTTTACAACTTTCTTAATAATATTCACTACAGGAAATTGGGGTATTGATAGCATAATATAATAGCGTTTAAGTGTGTTTTGCTATGGTTTATAATTTAGTAGCGTTTCTCTTTTTCTAAACGCTACAGATAAGTTTTCAGAAAAACTGGTTTGTCGCATTTAGCTAACAATAGCACTTTTTTGAAACAAACGCTACCTATGTGAAGTGCGGAAAGCTAATTAGTTTGAGCGCCTAAGACTTATCAAAAATTAGAAGCCATTTTCAGACTCCCTTCATCTAAGCTTCACGAACCAGTCTTTCCCTCTAACTCTCATTTTTTCAGATTCCCTCCATCGAACTTTCAGTCTCCCTCTCGTTTCTGAGATTTCTGTCACTCTCCTCCTCGGTAGCCAAAAATTAGAAGCCATTTTCAGACTTCCTCCATCGAAGCTTCACGAACCAGTCTTTCCCTCTAACTCTCATTTTTTCAGATTCCCTCCATCGAACTTTCAGTCTCCCTCTTGTTTCTGAGATTTCCGTCACTCTCCTCCTCGGTAGCTGAAGTATAAGCTCTAGTTAAGGTTCGTCAATCTTAGCGATTGTTCATTCTCGTCATTTAGGGTTAAGAGGGTTTAGATTCGTCGAGTTAATTTCATGTTCCTTTCTCAAAAAAAAATTAGGGTTCTTTTTCTGTTTCTCGATTTTTGTTCTATTATATTCTGATTCTCCAAAACCATCTTAATTTTGTGCATTGACACTGTGAAATTGGAGCTGTGTTATGGACAAGTCCTGGGTTTGGCTTCCAAAGTATGTTCAAATCTTTTAAGCAACGCAAATTAGTTTGTGAAATTGAAGTTTATTTAATCTTACGCTTGATTGATATATTACAGGGCAAGCAATGATTATGAAAAGGGGGCAACTGATTTCGTCAATAAGTCAGCGTTGAGGTTGGGTAATCCTCTTCAAATCTCATGTCCCTGTGTTGACTGTCGGAACATGTGTCATCAAAATCTCAACACAGTCGTGGAGCATTTAGTCATAAGGGGGATGGATAAGAAGTACAAGAGGAATGATTGTTGGAGTGTTCATGGAGAGATAAGAAAGACGCAGACAGTTGAGTTTGAAAGTGTTGACCACTTAGAAGCGTACGAGTTGTTTAGAACTGCATTATCTGTTGCTGAAGACAATCCACAAACCGGAGAGCAACCAGAGCTAGTTAAAGGTGAAGAAGACTCTGAGTTCAAGAAGAAATTGCAGGATGCAGAAACTTTACTCTACTCCAGCTGTCCCAACTACAGTAAGATATCTGCAATCATGGGATTGTATCACATAAAAGTTAAGAGTGGGATTTCAGTGAATTATTTTGATCAGCTTCTGACATTGGTTCAAGACATGCTGCCTCAAGGGAATGTCCTTCCAAAGTCCACAGGCGACATCAAAAAATTTCTGAAGATATTTGGGTTTGGTTATGATGCAATTCACGCTTGCAAGAATGATTGTATTCTTTTTCGGAAGCAGTATGAGGATATGGATAGCTGCCCAAGATGTGGTGCTTCAAGATGGGAAGTTGATAAGCGTACGGGGTAAAAAAAGATTGGGATTCCAGCAAAAGTACTACGGTATTTTCCTATCAAAGAAAGACTGAAGCGGATGTTTAGATCAAAGAGGATGGCTAAGGATTTACAATGGCATTTCAGCAATGGTAGTGAAGATGATAGCATGCGACACCCGGTGGACTCACTGACTTGGGCTCAAGTAATGATAAATGGCCAGAGTTTGCTTCTGATCCAAGAAACCTTCGCCTTGGACTATCTTCAGATGGTATGAATCCTTTCTCCATTCAGAACACAAAGTACAGCACATGGCCAGTCTTCTTGGTAAACTACAATATGCCTCCCAGTCTGTGCATGAAGGCA